TCATGTCTGTGTGTGTGTATGTGTGTGTCAAGAACACTGGGGACCTACCCTCAGCGTATTTCAGATATATAGCACAATATGGTTAATGCTATTCACAGAGTTGTTGAATAGAGCTTCAGAACCTACTAACTTATATATCTAAAACTTTGTCCCCCTTATGAAGTCTCCCCCGCTCCTCCCGCCCTCATTTCCTGGCAGCCGGCACTCCGCTTTCCACTTGTATGGACTGACTGTCTGAGGCCCCACGCATGCGCGGTCATGCAGCACCTGTCTTCTGTGTCTTGCTTCTTTTCCTTAACATACTTTTCATTAGGCTCATTCATATTGTCCCAAGTGGCAGATTTCCTTCCTGTTAAAGACTGAGTAACGTTTCATTGTGTGTACACAATACATTTTTCAATATCCACTACCATGTTGGGGAGCAGGTATTTCCACATCTCGGTCACTGTGGATGATACTGCAGTGAACACAGGGAAACGCAGATGTCTGTTTGAGGTGCTCATGGCGTTTCCTTTGGGTGCATGACTGGATGTAAATCTGATAGATCACAAAGTCATTTCAGTGTTAATTTTATGATAAAGCTCCACATATTTTTCCTTAATAGCGCACTGATTTACACTCGTGCTGACAGCGTGCTAGGGCTCCCTTCTTCCCGCACCCTCGTCACCACTTGCTAACTTTTCTTGTCTCTTAACAAGAGCTGTTGTCATAAGTACTGGAAAGCTTCTGAAGTTCTTACCATTATCATCATCATCATCATCATCATCATCATCATCATCATCATCACCATCATTATTTTTGTTCTTACCATTATTGTAAATAGGATGTTTTCCTGGTTTTGGTATAGGTTCTTGGCATAGAGAAAAGATGTCTAGCTTTAAATATTTACTATTGGACCCAAGGAAGTGGGTACTGTAGTATATATGTTGGTTAGTTTCCCATAATCTGATTTTTTTTCTTTTTTTGTAGCAGGATCGAACTTCATGACCTTGCACTTGCCAGGCAGGCACTTAAGCTGCTGAGCTATCTCCCCAGATTTTTCTTTTTGAAAATCCCCTTCCCTCTCCCTTCCTTCCCTCCTCTCTCCTAATTCCCCTATCTTTATTTTCATTCACTTTGATATTATTGATCTTAGCTCCTCTTTATGGTATATAATGTTTTTATTCATTAAAAATCTTACATTCCGGTACATGGTATATTCTTATTCTACTTATTTTATTTCCCCTCCACTTCCCCTCTTGCCCTTGGTCTCTTAACTTTTTTCATTTGCAAGAGATCTATGCCTCTCTTCCCTTCTACTGTAAACAGCTAACTAGGTAGAAATATTATACACTGTCAGACAGTGCTAGGCCCTCAGAATCAATGCAGAGGATGAAAACACATTATGACTGTGTCTGCAGGTGTATCTGCTCAAGGACAGTCCTCAAGACAGAATGACCATGGCTGCATGTCTCCCCAAGAGATAAAACAGTATAGTATAACTGGTATCCTTGGTCCAAAAATGTCTAGATAGACATCAGGTCATCCTGATTCATTTTTTTCTGAAATGATCTGGGTTCTTTCCATGTAAATTTGCTATTCTAAATTTGTGGCCTTCCTCCCCACTGGGTTAATACTACCTAAGCAGCTATATTTGTAATCTGACTGGTTGATCATAGCTTTGCACTCATGATTTTGCTCTATAAAACTTCCTTTATGAAGTGGGGTCCACAGCAGCCCACTTTCAGGTTGCTTCCTATCTCTCAGGGGCTATTTCAATAAACTTCTGAATCCTAACCTCCAATGTTCCTTAGAATACATACTTCAGGGTTAGGGAATGTAAATTCAGTGTATCTGACATCTAGCAGTTTGGGAGTTATATCTAGCTCCCCTGTGTCATTTGGAGACATCAGTGAAATAACTGGAAGGAGGAAAGAGTTTGCTTTTGTTTCATAGATTCTGGATTGTTTCTTTTAGGTGTTCAGAACTTGTTATCCTTGTTTGTCAGTTTCTTATGCCTTGAATTTTTATGCTTTATCTTTTTTTACATACTATTTTTTGTTAAATGGTGATCAATTTAAGCTGAGAACATGGGAAGATTATGATGTGTCTTTGCTGGACATTTTCCTTTTGTGTGCAAAGTCTTGCATTTCTGCTTTATACATGGCTGCCTTTGGACTTGCTGGGTGCTGAATTTACAGTGCTTCTTCCTTGACGTGTTTGACTTGTTTTGACTGTTGTGGCTTGTTAGCTGATCTTAGACAACTGACTAGGGAACTAATGTCCCCTAGTGGACTTTGATTCTAAATGAAATATGAATTAATGAAGCATAAAATGGATCTTTTTTGAAATCTAGCTTATAGTTTAAGAAATACACATGTTATTCGTAAATCACAAGACTGCCCAACTGCCAGTTAAAAGACAATAGGGAGGCAATTACTCTTAAAGAGTTGGGGCATAAGTTTCACTGGGACAGTATGGCTTGCCACCCCTTCTACGCACTAAGGAGGAGTGGTGAACCTGCTCTGCCTCAGTTTCCTTTCAGGATGATCTTCCAACCAGTGAGGAGGCATCTTAGCTCTTTTTTTTAAAATTGAGTAAATTTTATTTATTTTTTGACATAATTTTATTGATAAAAAATTAGCAATGAGACAGTTTCAAATCAAATCGGTAGGACAGTTTCAATAATTAACACACTGCATACAATCTTCTTAGTGGTTAACTGCTGTACAAGATGCGGACTTGATTTCCTATTTACAAACACCATTAGAACAAATCATTCCTCAGTCCTTCGGGCTCTGGGGCGCCCGGCGGCCTCCAGGGCCCCTCTGCTGAGGGACCCCGGCGCGCGCCGCTTCGGCTCGGGTGCCCGGACCGCCGGCGAGGACGCGGCCGGCGCGCGCGCCTTCTTCACCACGCCCATCTTCTACGTGAACGCCGCGCC